TTCTTTAGCCTAAAGAGCCAATAGATGAGTCTTGGGTCGATCTTGATCACAATAGGATCGACTCAATACATTTACACCTAAGTCTTTGTTCTTGGTTCTCTTTTAGGCTCTCGTTCTCATCTTCTTGATTCTCGCCTTGTGTATTCTTTTCTTGCGTTTGTTTCACGGCGGTTTGGCATTATCAAAACCTGTAACAAAAACAGACACGGCTTTAGTATTACGAAGTGATAAACCGTGATTCAACAATTTCCCCCTTTTTGATAATGGCAAACAAGACGGGGTTTATGCATTTGAGAAGCAAGGTTTATTTGAAAAGATTCCCTTAAGTTCCCCCTTAATCAAAGCATCATTATTAATATTTTAAATTCTTGGAAATTTAATACTTTGAAAAAGATTGTTTAAGGATAAAGGTTCCCCCTCAAATTGTGCATAACCCAACATCTTCCCCCTTTTGACATTAACAAAAAGATTTAAAAGATAACTTTTATTCAATAACGATAAGGGAAATGCGGAATACAACGGAATAGTAAAGAAAACAACATAGTAATAATAAAGATAAGGAGTGAAGAAAGTCTAGGAGTCTTCATCGTCGTTCTCATCATCCTCAACGTCCATGTCATCGCCGTCCACCTCTTCATCAAACTCGTCCTCGTCGGACGACGACGGAGCATAGGAGTCGTCGTCCTCATCCCCGCCATCATAGTCTTGGCCGAGGAAAGTCCCATCATACGGAGGAGGGACGTACTGGACTTGTTTGAAGTAGGCGCGCATATCATGACGTTGGCGCTGCACAGTCCGGTCGATGCGCTCAACGGCACGGCCCATGTCATCAATGTTGACCGTGAGGGCGTTGAGAGAGTCGGCAATAGACTGAAGAGAAGCTCGGGCAGGGGCAGCGGTAGTGACACGGCTTGTCCCTGCGCCATTGCGGTTTCTGAACTTCTTCCGGAAGGTGCCATCGTTGATGAGCCAAAGCTTGGTCATCTTGGTGACGGGGCCGGCGATGTGGATGTTGTTGCGTGCAATGATCTCCATGACTAGGAAAGCATAAGGGAGACTCCTCTCGGTGCTAATGGATGCAAAATCGGCCATGTTGATCATGATGAACTTGGCCCAATTGACGTCGGCTCCGTTCATGATCGCGTGGATCATCTTGACGTCTTCGGTGAAGAGGGTGGTGTGGCTGTGATCCCGAGGATGGAGAACCCGGGTGAGAAGGTAGAGTAGGACCCTCTTCTCTAAAGGAGCGGAGTGAATGGTCGGTACGCCCTTGTGCCGGATGAGGTTGGTGATGCCAAGCTCTCGAAGGACCACGCCTTCGTTGTTGACGTACCAATCTTCGCCTCCGTACGTCGCGGTATCCTCTCCCCGAGTAGGCAGCCCTGAGACGCGAGAGAGGGTGTCCAACGTGATCTCTATGTCATAGAGATTGATGCTCGTCTTGAGGACGTCCCCTTCTCGGCGTAGGTTGGAGTAGAACGCACGCACAAGCCCGTGGTTGAAGCTTTGGTGGCTCTTGGAGACGAACGGCCAAAGTCCTAAAGCTTGGAGCTTGTTGTCGAGATCATGAAACCCCTTTTGTTGGGGGTAAAGCTCCGGGAGGATGCGAGGCGGCGCGATGGGGCGCGTAGAGAAATAGGAGAGGAAGTGATGGAGCTCTGCCTCCGATCCAAACTCGAGAAATGACCCATCAAGGTACGGGTACGTTTCGGGCAGCGAGGACGATGCATCGGTCGTGCTCTTCTTCTTGGACATGGTGGCCTTGGTCTTGGTTTTTCCTCCGGCCATTTGAGAAGAGTTTGAGAAGAAAAGATGAAGAAAGAATCAACTATTGCTCAAGGGATTGATTTGGAGTGAAAAAGTTGAGGAAAAATGACCCAAAAATGGGTTGTTTTTATAGAAAACACTCATTTGTCCGTTGGGTATTTGAAAAAGAGCTGTTGGGCATTGAATGTGGTGCCCAACGGACTGATTTTTTTGAAAGAACCCGTCAAACCAGCGATGGGTAACCCTGACCATCGCTGGTCACCCATCGATGGGTAAGAAAAACCATCGATGGGGAGGGGGTTTCTGGAAATTTATGAAAAAGAAAAGAGGACCAACCAGCGATGTGTCAAAAGCACCATCGCTGGTAAAGGTGCTACTGGAAAGTCTGGAGTTGAGCACTAAAGGCTTACCAGCGATGGGTAAGAAGTACCATCGCTGGTTTGGGAGCCACTGGAAACCCAAGCCTCTGCAGACCAGCGATGGTCCCTTACACCCATCGATGGGTAGGGATAGCTGGAATGCGATAAGAAATTTTAAAATAACATGGAGTAAATGACCATCGATAGTGTAAATGTACCATCGATGGGTACCTGGTCCTGGTGGAATCGAATGCTTTACCCAGCGATGGTTATATTGACCCATCGCTGTCCTGACCAGCGATGTGCTTGGCTTACCATCGCTGGTTCCCCCTGTCTTCCAGAAACATTTAAGTGATGCACCTGCAAAAAAGAGTTAGAAAACCCTCCGAAGCTCAAGTTAGTAATGATTTAATGAATGATAGTTAAAATGCACATATTAGATCAAGGTAGAGTCAAGGATTCCTAGTTCGCTACGAATTCGGAAGAACGACTCTTTCTCTAAAAACTTGGTGAAAATGTCGGCAAGTTGAGACTTTGTTTCAACGAACTCAATTTTGACATCACCTTTGAGAACGTGATCTCTGATGAAATGGTGCCTAATGTCAATGTGCTTTGTTCTTGAATGAAGAACGGGGTTCTTCGTCAAGCTTATGGCGCTAGTATTATCACAACGAAGAGGAACGTGATCGATACTAAGGCCATAATCCACGAGTTGTTGCTTCATCCAAAGGATTTGAGCACAACAACTCCCAGCGGAGACATACTCTGCCTCGGTAGTGGACAAAGCAACACTAACTTGTTTCTTACTAAACCATGAGACTAAAGAACTACCAAGAAAATGGCATGTCCTACTCGTACTTTTGCGGTCTAGTTTGCAACCCGCGAAGTCCGAGTCGGAGTAGCCTACAAGATGACACGGTGAACCTTTTGGATACCATAGTCCAACGTTGGTCGTGCCCACAAGGTATTTCATTATCCGTTTAACCGCCGTCAAGTGCGATTCTTTTGGACAAGATTGATACCTTGCGCATAGACATACGCTAAACATAATATCCGGTCTACTAGCGGTAAGATAAAGAAGGGAACCGATCATACCTCGATATTTTTTGACCTCAACTTCCTTACCTTTTTCGTCCTTGTCGAGATGGTCGAACGTGCTCATAGGTGTGGCCATTGCTTTTGCGTTTTCCATTTCAAAACGCTTAAGGAGTTCCTTACAATACTTAGTTTGGCAGATGAATGTGCCATCTCTCATTTGCTTAACTTGTAAGCCTAGGAAGAACGTGAGTTCTCCCATCATCGACATTTCAAACTCGTTTGTCATTAATTTTGAAAATTCCTTGCATAGAGATTCATTAGTAGCACCAAAAATAATGTCGTCTACATAAACTTGTGCCAAAAGGATATTATCATTTTTACTCTTGATAAAAAGTGTAGTATCAACCTTCCCC